ATGGGTATCGTTGGGTCTAGTCCATAGTTCAGGTAAAACGATGACTGCTGGGTCGTGGCGGATGGCGAGTTGTTGTATGCGAACTCGATGAGTGGCAGCTGCTGTTCCCAGGTGGTTGGATCGTCGGTCGCACGTGGCTTGGATGAGCTTCTCCATGGTCTGATTTGTCCTTTCGGTCTGTCCGTCGGTCTCGGGGTGGTACGAAGAACTGTACTATAGTCGCGTGCCGAACTGCTGCCACAAGTTCCGCCAGAAGTTGCTGGTGAATTTCGTGTCGCGGTCGCTGATGATTGCTGATGGTATCCCGTGAAGTCGAACGACAGTGAAGATGAAAAGGCGGCCTGTTTTTTCGGCTGTGATTGATTTCTTGCCGGCTGCAAAGTGTGCCATTTTTGTCAGTCGATCGACAATGACCAGGATCGCGTCGCTCCAGCCGGTAACCCCGTGACGAAGCCCATCATCACCTGCTGCCAAGCACGCTCTTGGGGTGGTGTTGGCTGCAACTGTCCTGCCGACCGTTTCCGTGATGATTTCATGATCTGGCAAGTGGGACACGATGCCACATGTCATTGAACGTCGGTCAATATTTCGGGCCAGTAATAATACCGTTGCAGCTGCTGCCATTTTTTCTCTACCCCGAAATGTCCCGAGGTAACGCGGTCGCGTGCCTCCTATAACAGTAATTCTTGTAGAAGTGTGTACCCTGGTACCCAGATGCGGTCGGTCCTGGCCTTTACGTAATAAACTCCCTTTGCTGCTACGAACTGCTGCGAATTTTCTCCTATGAAGAATGGATCCGTTTGGTACCCGTGGCTAAATAATCCTGTGAGTAGTGGGCTGGTCTGGGCAAGTAGTATTGCATGGATCTGGGCAGTGGGGCGGGTCAGTGCGTTGGCGATGTTCGATGCCCCCTTTTTGTAGGTGACCGTGTAGTGAAAATTGGACTCGAGAAAATCGAGCCAGCGGATCTGTCGTGGGTTGAGGTGGGGCTGTGCGCGGAGGTACTGTAGTGATTTATGGTCTGTCCATACTATCACGTCTGCGCCGGTCAGGTAACAGCGCCACACTTGAAATGCGTGCACGATCGCGAGCATTTCGCGGTTGTGTATCGGGTAATTTTTCTCAGGCGGATGCAGTTTTCGTGACTCGTATGCGATGGGCTGTAGGCCGTTGCCGAAGTCTTGTAGCAGTACGGCTCCGATGGCGATGTTGCTGGCGTCTGTAACTTCTTCGAATGGGCGGTGTGGGTCAGCAATGCGCAGTACGGGCTGTGAACAGAGAACAGTTTTCAGGGCAGAGAAGGCAGCATGCTCTTTCTCCCCCCACGTAAAAACGATCCCCTTGCGCAGTAAGTCCATGAGTGGTGTTGTTAAGCGTGCCATGTCGGGGACGAACCGACGCACATAATTTAAGAACCCCAAAAAACTCTGCAGCTCCGTGATGTTCGTCGGGGGGGCGCCAGGCTTTTACCGTGTCCAACTTCTTCGGGTCAATTTCGACCCCAGCCTCCGAAATATCGTGCCCCAAAAACTCTAGCCTGTCCTGAAAAAACTCGCACTTGGAACCCTTTGTCAGTAGCCGATGCTCGTCTAAAATTTTAAACACTACTTCCAGATCTGCTAGGTGATGCTGCTTGTCGCGACTGTAGACGAGGATGTCGTCGAGGTAAACTATCACGCATTTATCTAAAAGTGGCTTAAACGCCTCGTTCATGGTCATTTGAAATGTCGCCGGTGCGTTGGTCAGGCCGACGGTGTACTCGGACGACCCGTACCTAGTTCGAAAAGTTGTTTTGGCGCAGTCTGATGGTTCGACTTTAATCTAATGGTAACCTCCCTGTAAATCTATTTTCGAAAAAACCCGTGTTGTTCGCGGTTGGTCTATCAGTTCATCGGCGCGGGGAATGGGGTATCGCGACTTGACTATTACCCTGTTCAGTGCTCTGTAATCGATGCACATGCCAGACCCTCCGTCTTTTTTCGGTGTGAACAGTATCGGTGCGGCAAACGGTGATGAACTCGGTCGGATGATTTTTTTTTTCTCTAACTGTTAACCTAATTGCTTCCTCAATTCGTCGAGCTTGGGTTGTGTCTGTCTGAACTGTCGCTGTACGGTTGGCTGTGCCCCCAGTTCTAATTTTATTTGGTGGCCGTGTGCTCGCTGAGGTGGCAGTCCCTCCGGTAAATCATCAGGAAAAACCCCCGGGTATCGTTTCAACAATTCCTGTAGTTTGGGCGGTACTAGTGCCAGCAGTTTCTTGAAATCGCTCGGCTGCTCTGCTTCCTCTACCACTGCAATGTCCACTGCGTACACGTCAGCTCCAGCGGTGACAGCCCGTTTCATGGTGACAGCATTGACGTGTACCGTTGAAGACTGAGGCGACTGCTAACGAGGTAGTTCGACCCATGTACCGCTACTTCGTACAGTGCAGCTACCCGTCGTCCAGTCAATTCACAGATTATACCGTCGCAGCCAATCACGTCCCAGTAAATGTCGTGCCCATCCAATGTCGTTGCGAGCATTTCCTGTGTAAACCCGAAATTCCCCCTGCAGCAGACTTTTACTCTCTCCACCTTCTCCCGTATGGCCAGTGGTGTGCCGTCAACTAAGCGTGCGTCTATCTCCGGTAAGCACCGGCAAAGTTTCAGTTGCAGTTTTTGTGTGGTTGCAGTATTAATTAAATTGTGACTTGCTCCTCTGTCGATAAAAATCTTCAGTGTTGCTCCCTGTATTTTCCCGTGGATTAGTACTGGGCAATCCGTCGCTGTACCCTCCTTATTTATCCGAGCCCGATCGATAGCATGAATCGGTACTGTGACTCGGTGAAGGTCGGTGGGGTTGGGCAAGCAGGCAGTCTCGTCAGTAGTTGGCCTAGTTCCTACTGACTGCTGGCGTTTCCTTGCTTTGGAGACTCCCTCCCCTGCTTTGCTCCGCGGAGCCTCAGCTCCTTTGGGCACTCACTCTTGCGATGGCCCGGCCTATTGCAAGCAAAGCAGCGCCCCTTCAACGGCACGGCAGCTGTATTTATCCCAATGGCATGTACGGTGGCATGCTCAATCGGTCCCCGAGGGCGATGTCCGTACTAGGACCCCGATCTTGGACGGCGCAAAATGTCAATTTTCTCGGCGAGCGCGAGAATCTCGTTGAAATTCGAGAGTTTGCGTAGCATGATTTTGTGCGAGATGTCCGGCTTCAGCCCTCCGACGTAACGGTCCACCCGCTCCGCTTCGTACATGGAGCCGATTTGCTCGCATAATGAGAGAAAACCGCTCGTCTAGTCTTGAACCAACCCGAGCTGTCGCCAAGTTCACAATCTCTAAGGCGCTAAAATAGAAGTCGCGATCAGCTCGAAGCGCGCCTGAAGTCCTGCGCACCACGCATCCTATGTGCTATACTGCGGTTTCGCAGAATGAGCTCCAGGTGACGGCTGGACCCGTGGGCCCTTCCTCTTGCGACGGTGGCTCATAGGCGCGTGGCGACGTCACGATGACTCGCCACCAGTCCATGGCGGGGCCCCTCAACAGCAAGACGGTGTATCTGATCTTCGCTGCGTCCGACTCGACGTAATTCGTGTCGAAGAAAACGTTCATCGTGAAGATCCACGATTGAACCGTTGGACCTCCACGCTGGCTCGGGTCGAAGCAGGGAGGGCGCTGTGGCTAGAGTGGCATAGGTGCCATGATGGCATGGTCGCCACTTGTTGCCCTGAATTCCATGTGCCGACGGGCCTCACGAGGCTCCCGCGGGCTTGGCGCGACCCTGTTCCTCTCCATACCAGGCATTGAGTGGGCGGCGCCATCACTGGCTGCGCCGGAGCGCTGTCCGACGCTGTCATTTTGTGTCGATGTGCCCGATGGGTTGATGATCGGCTCCTCCGATTGTGCAGGTGCATTTGCAGGTGCGTGTGGTGGCGCTGGAGTATTCACCGTAATTTGCTGCCACGCAGAGTCACGTTCTGCCATGAGCGTCACAATTTCGAGCGCTGATTCTTCGACTTGGTGCACTAGTCGGTCGAGTTGCTCCTGCGTTAGTGTCGTGAAAGTGAATCTGGCCATGGCGGGGGTATCGGGCAAGCTCAGCAAGAGCCTCTGTCGTGGCCGTGTATGCTTACAAGAGAGCACTACGAGCGCCGGTGCTGTGTCGCTGAGAGACGTCGACCCCCCCCAAAAATTGAGATAGTGGGGAAGCGAAGGTGTGGGTGCGATCCGAGAAGAGTGATACCAAGTGTTACGAGTGCAATTGAGTGAGCAAACGAGAATTGCACTATCGAAGCAAGAGTACAATGAGCGAAGGATTGAGCGATAACTAAATAGCGAAGAACTGTTGGTGACGCGCGACGGGCCTGGAACTGAGGTTGGGACTGTGGTTGGGAAATGTCGAGGCGGAGGCCCGGAGCGCGGGCTACCCGCCGAGCTGTGAGGTCAGGATGCGATGTGCAAAGGTGGCGGGAGGATTGTCGATGCGAGGGTTGCGAGTGGTAACGGTGCTGAATGTGGTGCTACAGTGATGTACGCGTTGAGCAGGGGAGCAAAGTAAGGAAAAGGAATTTTCCTTTCATCTAGCAAGACCTGACGGCTACAAATACCTATACCATGCAATATTCTAACTGGACTACCCATGGGCCTATAAGTTCTACTGAGCGAAGATTACCTCCCTCAAAGTCCCTCGACCAATCAACATAGCATCCAGGAACATGTCCATCAAAGCATTATCCCAAGGAGCATATCCCAACTCGAGCACTCGAAGCTTCAGGGGTACAGACAGTTGTCCCAGGCGGCATTCTCTCCAAGCACTCAAAGCCATTCATCTTCCTGTAGCACCCCTTCATGCTGGCAAACCCCTTCACGTCAATCATGGTGCAGTTGTCTCCAGTTGCAACGCTGTAGGTGCCCCCCGGACAGGTGCCAGTCTTGTACCTTGTGCCGCTAGCGATGCAAAGCTGCAGGACAACCATGGTGATATGTGAGTGAGAAGCCTCAATCTGCTACGGCACTATAGCACTAATAACAGGTCCTCACCTTGCGCCGCGAATAGGTATATTGTAAGTTGGTTGACAAGCACTTGCAGTTGATGCCTGGGTTGAGGCGGTAGAACTCCAGTGGGCTCAAAGGTGGATCCACCGCGGCCATCACAGCATCACAGCCGCCACACACCTGGACAAGGTACTCCTTATCACACACTGCCACCTCCCTTGCCCTGCTCTCATCGCGCTCTACACACACGGTCTGGCCGCACATGAGCTCTGAGCAGTTGAGCCCAGGGTTGAGTTTAACCACCGCATCCACACATGCCTGATCTCCATCCCCGGGACACGTGTCGCTCAGAAGGAACTGTTGAGAAATCGTCACACAGCTTTCCCCCTACACACACGACAAGCAAATTAATGCAGGGGATTATACATTCTTTTCAATCCTGCTCTTGGTATGATAAAACAAGAAGTTTTATCTCCATGCGGAGGATTGCAAAATTAGTGCTCTGATGGTATGGGTGTACTCACGAGCTGGACGGTGTAGAAGAGCGAGCAGTTCGGAAGAGATTGAGTCGTCTTGACAACCAGCTTAGATCCCACTGGGATGGCCTTAATGCAGGAGAGCTTCTGCACGTACGAGAGAGCAAGAATTGGTTAACGGCTTGAAACAAGATACCATGGGTAGCGTGGTAGCAGATTGAGAGAATTTGAGCGCACCTTGTTCTGCTGCGTGAGTTGGTCGAGAGTGAGTCCAAACACAGGCAGCACTTGAGAGCACCACACATTGCTTCCAAGCACCGTGTAGCTGCCCTTGTTGTCGCCTGCATGCAGAACGAAGCATCAACATGAGAAGTACATACAACTAAGTTACACATCGGTCGTATGCTCAAGAAAACATGTGTATAGCTGGCAGCTTCACTTGTTTCAGCATCCGACACATAGGAGCGCTGCTATGTCCTTATGAGGAACTGAGAAATGGGCAGCGAGAAGAAAATGAGCAAGGAGGAGCATACCCGGAGCACAGGAGAGAGCTCCCTTGGCGGTGGTGCCTTGAACGAACCCCGGGGGACACACACAGGAGTAGTTGCCCTTGCCATCGTTCACACACGTGCCCACCACACACGGGTTGCTGCCTGCCAGCCCACAGGCGTCCACTGGCAGCGGCAGGCAGGGCAGACAGGGGAAGGAGATGTTGAATTGAGTTGTAAGGGAGAAAGGGCACTCAGAAGAGCGCAAGGGAGTGTGAGGGCATGATGGGCTCACCATAGGCGCAGGTGTTGGAGCCGTCGGGGTGGGAGGCCTGGACGAAGTGGGGAGCAGCACAGGCACAGCGGTTGGATGCTCCGGCCTTGGAGCACTTGAACTGCCCACACGGGTTGAACGCATTGGTCACGGGCACTGCCCATGAGCCCGCCAGCTTCACAGACTTGCTCCCACACGGGTCAGCAGTCGCTGCCATGCACAGACCACGCACCACATACAGATGAAAAAAGCCGCGGAGATAGAGCATGTGATCCAACATAGTGAGATAGTAGAACCATTGGCATGGCAGAACGTGCAGGATGCATGGGAAGAGGGCCATATATGGCTTCATGCATGGCGCAAGAGGCGAGGAACCCATTGTCCATGAAGCAGCAAACAAGCCAGAAAATTTTGTACAAGAGGAGCTATGAACTCAGTGCTCTGAGCGTACATCGGAGGATGGGGAAGATGCCTGGCAGTGTGTTGATGCCACAGATGCCTGATCCGCTCTGCATGTCCATGAACATGTGTCCTGCATACCCCCACCCGGTGCCCCATGAGTTGCGGATCACCCAGAGGGGCCCAGGCAAGCTGAAAGGGCTGGACGTGCTGCCCTCCACAGCATAGCCCACCAGCAGCACCGCGTGGTTCACTTCCTCCCGAAAGCAGCCAGAATCCGCATACTTGTATGTCTGGGAGTGCATTGGGGCATAGTGAGGAGTGTATAAGGAAAATCAAATCCTTAATCTGACATGTGTCCCAAGAAAGTTTCTTCTGCGCATGTAACTACTTCTCTACACTGTACCGATCAAGTGTATCAGTATCACATGGCGTCTCCCCTTTTGAGAGCTTTGTATCTTACCCCGTCATACTCAAAAAACGATTGTGCGGAAGCCTCTATTCGCACAACCACTGGCTGCCGCTGCACTGCCAGCAGCAGACCCAGCCATCCATCGAAAGAGGTCTCCTCATAGCCCTGGATGCCGTAGTACTTGATCTTCTGGAGACATGTAGGACAGGTAATGAGGTAGGGGAGTTCACAAAACAGTGAGACTGTTAGACACTGGAAATACAGAACTATACAATACTATATAGGGATGGCGTTTGAGAAATATGGGAGGGGATTGTTATCCAGTGCAAGCAGCCACAGGTTAAGCAGGCAGCCTCCAATGCTCCACCCTAATTCCATTCTTCTCCTTCATCTTGCAGCCTTTCCAAGCATAAAAGAGAGCATGATTATCGACCATTTGATGCAACTCACCGCGGCCAGTCTCTCCCGCCGGCCGGCGGACGCCATGCTGTGGGGACTGGCGGCCGCTGCTGCTGCGTCATCCACGAGCCCCCCTCCCTTGCGTGTGGCAGCCACCAGGAAGGCCAGCACATCCCGCGGAGGCATGTCGTCGCAGTTGGTCGACAGGGCCACCCGCAGCTGCTCCACCGACAGTCGGAGGGGCTGCGACAAATTGCTCGCAATGCTGTAGGCTGCCTCCACTGCCCCCACCACTGCATACGCTGCGGAGTCGGCTGCAGGCCAGAGAGGGATGTGCGTGCAGAGCAAATAGAAGTGGGAGTGCATGGAGGGGCGCAGCAAAGTGGGAGGTTCAAGAGGAGGGCCCACTGTGAGGTCCCTTTTCCACCTATGCTACGATTCCGTATCCCGTCAATCCACACCCATCCATGCCATCCGTGCCATACCGCATCCATGCTGGTTCTTCACGGGCCATGTTGCTTGATTCCGCATCCAAGAAACGAAGGGCAGAAGGTTCCAATACGGCCTTGTAATTGGGCTCTCTGCTTGAAAGGCGTGGCTGGCATAGTGGAAGGAGGATGGCACACTCCCACCTTCACTGGCCGCTGCCACCTCCTCTGCTAATGCCACCTGCCCAAATGCTTTGCCTGCTTGTTCATCATGGTGTGTTGTGGAGAACAAGGGATCTGGTTTTTCGTGGGAAAGGTAACACCCTAGGCGAGGGTAATGCCGAAGGCTTTCGTAACTCTTGGAATGAAACAAAAGGGTTGCAAACATGCGAGGAGTTCTGGGTGCTATGCTCACCAGGGGCCTCGTTCTGCCAGTCCACAAACGGAGGTATGCCTGCACGTTGGAATATGCATGCGAAGATGCACACACAAACACACACACACACACACACACACACACATACACACACATACATGCACGCACCCCGCACACACACACAACTCCCAAAAGCACACATAGACAGTGTGCAGTAACGCATGCACACAGAAGTACGTGCACGTAAGTGTACAATTTCGAGGACGACCATGCGGTACTGATACATTTGAGGTGCATAGCTGTGATGATGAACATTTCTGATGATGGTACTCACCAGTGGTAATCTTCCATGACAGGATGTCGTGCCTCTGGGATTTGTTCAAAGCAGCCGCCACAAAGCCGAAGAGGAAGGATGCATTGCCTACAGTAGGCTTGAGCGCGCTGCACAGAGACACTCTTGCCGTCACCACAGCTTTCGATGGCTGCTGCCTGGAGGCTGAGAGGAAGACTCGGAGGGTGCCGCCACTGGTGGGGTCGTAGTGGATCCAGGCGTGCTTGGTGTGGCCGTCGTTGAGGATGAGAGGGGCCGTGGCAGAGGCGAGGGACACAGGTGAACCGCCCACATTGACGCCCACGTGGTTGTCGTTGGGGTCGCTGTGCTTCACACTCAGCACCGAGTCAAACTCCACTGCCACACCCCGCTGCCCCACCCCTCCCAACCCCACCCCTGCTGCAGCCCCCTGGGGTGCCGCTGCAGTGACTACAAACGCCAGGCCCTCGCCTGCAATAATGCTACCAGAGGTAGCAGGGGTCATGCGAAACGTGAACGAGACGGAGAAGCCAATGGGCTGCTCGCAGGGCTGCTTTTTGTTGGTGGAGAGGAAGAGGGTGATGGGTTGCGGTGTGAAGGCCGCTCCCCAGGATGCAGTGGATGGCATTGAGGTGAGGAAGATGGAGCCGTTGGGGGTAGAAGTAGCCAGCTGGAAGAGAGTCATCGGGTCTTCGTAAGAGGTGAGAAGGGAGGGTACGTATGACCCTGAACATGGGAAGGATGCTCGGGTTGAGGTGGAATGGGTAGGTGCGATTGTGGAGAGGTGAAGTGGCATGCGTGTGTATGGGTGCATGGATACATAAAGGGGTGCGGATAACTGTGCATGGTGGTAGATCTGTGGGTAGTGTGGGATGGTGCATGCTTGTGGGATTACCAGAATGGTGACCGTTAGACAGTCAAGAAGAATCATGTAAGGCTTTGAAGACCAAACCACTTTCTAAGGTTCAAAAGAGGATCACTGTCGCTCAGCCAAAAATGCACCACATCCTTGCCTTACCTTGCGGGGAGCAGGTGGCAGGAATTACACTGGTGTAACCGTATTTGCAAGAGCAGGTGGGAGCAGATGCAAACTCAGGCAGGTAGACGCAGACTCCATGGCCGCTACAAGGTGGGCTCAAGGGCTCGTTCCCACAGAACCATTTGCACCAACCAGCTTCCCTCTGGACTTGCTGTTCGTCGCAAATGGTGAGGCTTTCAGCAAAGCAGTTTGAGTCCAGCAGCAGCTGGTATGAGGGGCATGCGGGAGGTGCTTCTGCTACTGCTGTGATATAGTTGCTACGTGCAGCCACAGTCTTGAGCGCTGCCATGCGCTTCAGAGAGGGCAGCTGCCCCACCAGCTGGTTGCCGTCCATCATGCTGTGAGAAAGCATGTGGCAGCCAACACAGGAACAGCGAGAAAAGGAGGGAAGAGGGTGGCATCAGGGAGTCACCAAAGCGAGTGGGAGGTGGTCAGCGGGTTGACATCGAAAGTGGAAGAGGGAGTGCGCAGTGGAGCATATCGAAGTAAATTCTTGAAGGGTGAGTGCTCTAATGGGGACAGGAACAGCGCACGGGAGTAGGGGTGAGGAACAATCACATTCGCCCTAGAACTTCATGCGGAAGGTGGACAGGTGTGGCGAGGATGATTGTGGGCACAGTTTGGGAAATAGCACGGTGTCTTACCAGTTGCCCAGAGGCCTCTAATGGAAGGTACTGATTGAGACAAGATAGTAGGCGAGTGCTTACAGATACACGAGGCTAGTGAGTGTACTGAATGCTGCAGGTATGGTTCCCCCAAGGAGGTTATTAGACAAAATCCTGGATGGTTTGCCAGAACAGGGAAAAGGATGGGAATGGAAATTGTTGCTTTGTGAGAGCAACACAGGTCCTCCTGTAGCACGTTTTCATAAAAGGCATGGACAATGGCCGAATCATACATGACATGAGTTCCCAGCCTGTATATTCATAAACCCCAGTAAATCGTCCTTTCTTTGTGAGTGATAGAAGTGATCATTGGAGGGAAGGCAGGATAGGAAGGAGCTTGGGCGCACAGAGTAGTGAGTCGGTTGAGGTTGGCCAGGGAGGGAGGAATGGTGCCAATCAGCCAGCTGTGCTCCAATGACCTGCCATGTGGTAACATGAGACGGCATGCATTGGCATGAGATGCGACAGAAACATTTCGTGGGAAGCGACCATGAGGACTAGCCAGGCCTAAGTCTGGGCTCGTATTTCCATCAGCTTAGCATAGCCCATTGCAGCCTGCCTTCTCACAGAGATTCCAAGCCAGTGAAATCTCCGAATGTTTCGGGGATAGATCCCGATAGCATGTTGTGTTGGAGGTTGCTGAGAGATGGTGGGTATGGGGCAGGACACGTGGAACAAGAGAGTGAAGTGGAGAAAAGCAATTTGATGCAACATGAGAAAATTGTTGGAGTGGCAAATGTGATGCGTAGAGGAAATGACGAAAGGAAGCAGGTGCTGGAGAAAGCATAAACGGGAGGGGAATGGGATGATCAGGGTGTGAAGAGCTAAGGCCGCAACTTATCATGATGAGGGCCCCCATCTCCTCGCCAGCCTCTCAAGGCAGTACGGCTCAGTTGTTTCTTGGAGAACCATTGCACCTCTTTATGCCCTCGCTCTCCCTCGCTCACTGAGAGAAGCAGCAGCCTATATGACCACCCCACTCTTTACTCCATCACACCGTGTGTCTGTCTCTGCCCCCCCAGCTCACGCACAGGTGTATCAAGTTGTGTAGATCACCGAACGTCTCTGGGATGGGGCTGTTGAAGCTGTTGTAACCGAGGTTACTGAGGTTGGTGAAGGGGAAGGAGATGGCAAGAAAGAAAAAGGGAAGGGTGAGATGGGTGGGAGGAACACCCAACCAGAAAAAATCAAAAGGGAGAGATTGCAAGGAGCAATGGAAAGTGATGGTTCGAGATAGATTGATGGATGGTGGAAGCAGAAGGGAGAGCAAGGGAGACAGAGACTTTGCAGGAAGCTGTGTGCACATAATTTTTTGTACAAATATTTCCTACAGTGGTGACATTTCCCCCGACTAGTACACAAAAATGTCTCTAGGATTAGCATGAAGAGAGATGAGTAAATGGGCGAGGAGGGTCAGAAATGGACAAACTAGGACAGAATTACGAGGTGTGGGAATAAAGGGACGGGAGGCAAAAGGTGAAAGACATATCTGACAGAGATTGACATGAATCACCACTATACAGGTGAAGCACACATAAAGGAGGTGTGGTAAGAAACAGACACGAGAAGTGAAAGATGACAGTGCTGACAGGGGTTGGTGTAGGTCAATCTGATAAAAAGAAACGTTTTGACCCTGTGATTGTCGTGTAGTCCAACAAGGTCCATTCACACAATGACCTAAGCACATGACTGGTGCACGATAGAAAGCGGTGCAGTGTGATGCATGGCGGCACACACAGGTAGCTCAAGGTCGTCATGCTGCCAATCCATGCAGGCACCTCCATTTCCAGCTGGTTTTTACTCATGTCCCTGGCGTGCGAACAAAGAGAGGAGGGCAGAGAACGGCCTGTGGAGTGAATTGGAGTAGCCATGAACCCTGACTTCATCAGATTCCCTATTTGAATGGGGGTCTTGCCGTTCACTAAGGACAAGGGTCCCTCAAGACAGGTCAATGACAGCCAATACTGATGTGACACACTCCAACAGTGGTTGTGGTTCATATCACTTACATCAGTTCGCCTTTTCACAGAGCCATCCAAAGCGACCTTCTAAACCACATGACAACATTTTCACCAGCAGATACGTGCAATCAACAAAGGTGTGTGCAGCCTGCTCAGCCTGTTTGATCATCAAACATTCACCATGACTAGGCATGTAAGTACCCCATTCACATCGCACGTGTCCATAAAGGCATACAATCATGTCAGGTATAAAAAACTAGAGAGCAGCAACTTGCAATATCATGTCAGAGTAGCACTTGCAGCAAATTCCAAGTCACGTCGCCAGACCTTCACTCGACCCTCACCAGAATTCCAGCTTCTGCAGTGAAGACAGCTCTGAGGGCAACGAACCACTCAACATGTTCTGAAACGTGTTCCTGCATGCACAGGTGATTACTCAGGTAATTGTACTCTCCTCTTTATGTTACGATGCGTTCTCCAACGGCAAGAAAAACACATTGGCAAGGCAGTAATAGACGTCATTGGACTTCTGTGAAGGGCACGGTTGTGTGGGATGCAAGAGTGCCCGAGAGACGAAAGTGTGCTGAGCCGGTGAGTTGGGTCTCTGAGGCAACGAAGTGACAAGGGCACCAGGGAGTAACGGGGGCCACTTGGAGGGCATCCGCCCATGGACAGCTTGCCTCACCGCCCGATATAAAGTACACCCAATGCAACAAAAGCTCCCCTGCAAGCCCCCTCATGTATCGTCCCCATTCCCTGCCCCTTTCCTCCCATCACTCCCATCACACGAACTGAGTCCGTTATCTGGCTCGCCATCACAATCACTGCCCACCCCCTCTGCACTCCCAGTAGAGCATTGATGCTCACATGTAGCGTAGGTCCCACAGGTTGCCAAGGTTTGCAGGGATGCTTCCCGTGAGCGTGTTCTGAGCAATGTCCCTGTGCAGGAGGTCACATGGGGGATGACATTATTGGCGAAGCAGCAGAGAAAAACATGCACGAGAAGTGTGTGAGGTAGGGGACTAGGAGAAGCTGCTCTCTTGCTAACATTCGGGGAGTGCAATTAGGGTGAGCAGCGCCATTCATATGCAAAACACGCTAGCAGAATATCGGTTTGAGTAAAGTGACGAGTGAACAGTGGAAGAGCGGGAGGGAGATGACAGTGACCGTACGTGAAGGCCTGAGGGATAAGTGAAAGTCTGAGGAACACCAACACATTTAAGAGACATTAATTGAATGTTTCAGGGGTACTTGAAGGAAAATGGTTCTCAATGCATGTGCACATCAAGCCCTTATTCATGCCTCTGTGCATGCCTCTATGCGTGCATTCATAGTTCTTACAACTCCAATAGAAGAGCACAGTCGCCCAGCGATGATGGGATACTTTCTGTCAACTCGTTGCCCCTCAGAGATCTGATGAGGTTGGGATGTGCAAGCACAGGAGGGTCGGGAATGATAACAGGAGGTTTGGGGAGTGGGTGAATGGGGGAAATGGGAGGGAAAGGAGCTTCAGCATCAACCGATAGCTCATTGGCTTCACTTGCCTCACGACATGGCGCAATGCATGCCCCACATGACTCAAGCTCCCCCGTAAGCCCATCTGCTTGAACGTCCTCCGTTCCCTTCCTGTTACGTCCCATCACTCACATCACACTGACAGAATCTCTTATCTGGCTCACAATCACAGCCGCTCTTCAACCCCTCTTCACTCCCCAGTAGAGCATCGGTGCTCACAAGTAGACAAGTTCTTGTAGTTTGCCAAGGGTTTCAGGGATGCTTCCTGTGAGGTTGTTCCGAGCCATGTCTCTGTGCGGAGATTATAGGTGTGGGGGACGACAGCATAGAATGGAGTGGCTGAGAATCAGCAGTGGGGGGATTGCGAGGGTAAGGGTTGGGCCAGTCATATGCAAAGCACCCTGCACGAGGGATTTGGAGCGAGGGGCCGAGAGAGGCAGAGAGGAGGGGGGAGGACCGTGACAAAGTCCGATAAATATCAGCACAAGCAGGGGGGCGGATGGCTTGTGAAGGTCCGGGGGGTAGATGCATGCATGGAAGAACTCGAAAAAGGGTTATCTCCAAATGCCCATGCAGTTATTCGTGCATTCATTGCGCATACAGCTTCGTTAGACGAGCACAGTCGCCCAGCGATGATGGGATGCTACCAGTCAACTCGTTGCCCCTCACAGACCTGATGAGGTGGGATGCGCACACACAGGAGGGTCAGGGAATGGTTAATGGGAGGATGGGGGAGTAGGTGAATGTGGGGAGAAGGGCAGAGAGGTGAAGGATGATCTGGAGGGAGGGAGAAAGCAAGAGATGGAAGTGGGCGAGGGAGAGAGTAAGTACATGGGAGTAGGAGGAGCATGCATGGGGGCTGGTAACAGTGTGAGGGAAGCTGAATTTGCCGTCACACACAGGTTGAACAGGTAGCAGCCACGCGGAGCATGTCCTTCCATGCTTATCTGTCCTCCTCTCAGACCCCTTATTTTCATAAACCCCTTTGGCCCTCTTCCTATTCACTTCCTTGGGAATCCTCTCCCCTTACCGCCTCCCTCGTCCCCACCCTTTCTGTATTCCCCTGCTCTGCCTCTTCACCATCAGGCCTTGCCCTTCCAAAGGTATCAACTCACAGCACCACAAGGTTGGTGAGTTCATTGAGAGAGTCGGGCATCTGCTCGGTGAAGTCGTTGTTATCCAGCACGCTGACACAGGGCCGTGGCAGGACG